TGATGAAACTGCAAGCATATCAAGTAGGTTGTGGGGGAAGGAGAGTCACAAATTTTCTGACATGTGACCTGCACATAACATGAGGTTCTGAGCCAGAATGAATGTTTTCCATTTAGAAAGAAAAAGAGAAAATACAAACCCAAAGCAGAATAACTTTTCTGGTCTAGCAAAAATCATGGATGCAAGAATAAGCTCAACCATGGGTTTAACACATAAGGAAGTACAAAAAAAACTGAAGATAACATTAGGGACTCCCTAAAATATGCCCACCTGAACAATTGGGCCAGAGATGATGTAGGTAAAAATCAGAGGGCCTGGTTTGTCTTCAAACTCATATGGGTTGTTTGAAGTCATAGAAGATAAAACAATATTGAAATAATCAGTTTCAGTCCATACTGGATTTGATATTGAATTTCATTTAGACTGTGTGGGGAGAAATATAAACTCTCATTGGGATGATATACTACTAAATTATGCTGATTTGGAACAACAACAACAACAAAAAATTACTTAATTTGCTGCAAAAACAATGTTAATCAGAGATGAACCAACTCATTTGTTCAAAAGCACCATGACTGAACACTGACTCAGAAAACTGAGTAATTTTCTTGAAATATCTAGAGTAAACATTAAGAATCATGCCAACGACTAACTGAGAGAAAGCAGAATTTAATTAAGATAGTCTAGCTAAACAAGTTCCACAGGACACATTCTGCACGTTAAGGGGATTTAAAGTGAGGCAAATTAAATATTAACAGCAGTATGTGAACAACATTGCTTTTTGTTACTGTCCAGGTTTCCAAAGACTAATACATTCCTGGAACACATGGACATACACATTCAGAGATGTGCTTTTGCTCTGCTCCCACAATGTAAGGCAGACACTGAATGCATGAAGTAGCCTAACATTTAGTATTTTTAATCTGGCTCCACATTTGTTTTCCTCCTTACTTTGCCTGAAATCCAAAGACAAATCATTGACATGCCTTATTAAAAACATCACAAGCTAAGCATTATATGGTTCCCAATGTGTATTTTAAGTGTCTAAGTTTTCAGCAATCCTCAAGAAAACATTCTCAAGGCCCTGCCCTTGCCAGATTTGTGACTCCTGCAAAGAAAAATGCACTGGGGCAATTAACTGACACGGAACTGAAGAGAAAAAAATGAAAATAACCTTTCATTGTTTTGCCTGTGCCCAGTGTGACAGAGCTGTGTGTCATGGCCAGGGCTCCTGCTGACCACCACAGCACAGCCAGTGCCATGCCCATGCAGCACAGACAGACAGTCTGATGTAACCACATGCAAACCAATTTGCAAAGCCAACAGAAGCAGATTCCCTGTAATTTTCTGGTGCAGGTACAGCTGAAAGTTTCTGCTGTGCACACCCTGCACAAGGGTACCCAAAAGAATTACACTGCACCCTCTGTTGGCCTAGCTGTTTTTATATTACTAAAATATCAACTTTTGACTAATAAACCTAATCCTTGCTACATACTTCCTTGCCAAAACCCCTTCTCTATTAATAAGAAAAAAAAAAAAGAAAGAAATTATGTAACTTGTGAGAATGTCATTTAAGTTCCAGTGCTGTGAGCAGCTTGCATGTTTACAGGGTTAATGAGTTAGTCAGGCACCAGATGAGTAACGTTTATTTCCCTGAGACACTATGATGGCCTAAGGAAGACCACTTGCTATGTGACAGAAGACACCAGTTTTCTGGGAAAAGAAAAGTTGCCTCTTTTCCCAGCAGCAGCCTTGTCACTGCTCTTGTAATTTTCAACTTCAGATGAAAGGCCCCACATGAGTCAGATGCTGTACCCTCTAATGACAGTTCACAGACACTGTTCTCTGCTCTGGGAACCAAATCTTTCAGCCCTGTTAAAAAGAGGACTGGTACATGATACTCAACCCCATCAACTGCTTTGTCAATGAAACCAGGGCTGAAAGGCTGTTCTGTAAAGTTTCAGAGTGCTCCTTTGGCATGGCTTTGTTTCTGGCTATGTAAGAACATTCTCTTTTCCAGTTTACCTATGACAATTATTCTCCCCGTCACAATCCTGCTATTTCACAGGTGATGAAAAGAATGCTTGCAGAGCATGGGGAGGTAGCTTTGCAAAGGTTCAGAGGGCAGCCTGCCCTGAAAGCCTGTGGAAAGCCAAGCCCTTATTTCCTCCTTTGAACAACAGAATACAAAGGTGGCCGTAGGCTCTGCAGCCAATTCGGCAGCTGCCTGCAAATGCTGGGGTTTTAACTCTATCCCACCTTCCCTCACCACAGACAAAACAGGACAATCCTGCTTGCTCTTTTGAATACTGTAAATGGCTCAGAGCCCTACCTGTGAAAGTGGACTTAAAACCAGGAGGAGGAGGTGCCTGCTGACGCTGCCAGAAGGGCTGAGAGAAGCCATCACTGCCCCCAGAACTCTGCTGAGACTGCTGGTTGCTGAGGAAGAACTTGTAAACTCCAAAAGCAAGAATGAGAAGAACAATTACAACAATTGCTCCAGAACCAGAATCAGAATAATCTTTGCTTGACTGGTAATAGCTAGAGCCAAAGCTTCCAGAGTTCTTTACTTTCCTTGCACCTTCTGCAGTCAGCTCTAGCTTGAACAGCAAACTACAGGAGCCTCTCAGTATGTAAGGATCATCCGGGTAATCGTAGCCCTCACAGCTCACTTCCATTTGTCCAAAACGGTAGGCGTTTTCCAGGTCTGCTTTGCACTGCCACTGAAAAAGCAAACACAACACAAAGTAAAACATACTGCCCCAAAGATGAAAACACCCATCTGCTTCCTCACACACACCCTGAAATAAAGCTGTAATTGCTAACATATCATCTACAGGCCATAGGTAAGAAACCTCTGTGTGCTCCTATTTTGAAAAGGAGTAGGAATTTGATGTTTAAATGAATTTTAAATCCTAAAACTTAAAAGAGATCTTACCTTTCAGAACACTGAAGAATTGCAGAGAATTACTCTGGAATATTTAGTTTTTTCTTCACTGAATATGTTTTTCAAATATCCCTTCCTGAGATACAGTAATACTTCTAAAAAATGTGCTGTACCCTGTGCAACAGCTACATAATAAATGCCTCTCCTGTGCAAACTCAATGGCAGCTACAAAAACATAACATGTGAGCCTGAGATCCAGTGCACCATTGTGTCTGTTTGTGCCTGTGCAGAAATCAAAAGAAGCTGGGACAAACATCATTAGGCATCCATATGCAACACTTAACAATTATACTGGGGATTCTCTGGTTGAACACAGGTGATCTTCAGGATCACATTCCCTAGAGGTATTCAAACAAAGGGATCTCTAATGGCACGTGACATCTATTTTGGAGAGGAAAGAAGAAAGTAATTGTCTCTAAATTAGTAATTCAGTACAGCAGTACCAACTGCCAATTTTGATTGTTCTTTCACAATACTGTATCAGTTTTAGCAAATACTTTCAGCCTTGATTCCTGGTTATCTATTGACAGCGGCCTTTTTAACAGCTGAAAGTCAAGACTATTTACTGACTAGCACTCACATCCTAAGGTGAAAGTGAAAGTCAGGCAAGTCTGAAATTTAGTTTCTAAAAGGTAAAGCTGAAGTGAATAAAAATATTAAGAATAACAAAAAATGGAAATTCCCACAGCAATAATAAGAGTTTTATTTCATAAACTTGAGCACCATTTTATTTAAACCAACAAAGGTTTGCTATGCCATGCTTTTATATTAGCTCCTTCAAAGATGAAACATATGAAACATATAACTACAGTAGTTCTGGAAAACTAGGTTAAGTTTTTAGTGCAAGAGTTCATCTAACAAAAAGAACTAACCTGAACTGACACCCTAGCTCACTACTCTTCGCTCCTTCAGAACTTCCCAGCTTGTGGGAAAGCGATTTCATAGACAGTTTAGCAAGTTTTAAACAGTTACCTGTACATCGTAGCCGTCCCATCCTTTGTTGTAGCACTGCACAACCTCAGGGACCCGGGAACAGCCGGCAGAGCCCCCCGTGCACTGCAGCTGAGGGACCGAGGCTGTCCGCCGGGATGTTGTGTACTGCCCTCTGTGCAGCGTGAGCGCCTCAACATCCCGCAGCAGAACCTTCCCTGAAACAGCCAGCACAAGGAATCACAGAATCCATCAGGCTGGGAAAGCCCTCAGCGATCACCGGGTCCAACCTCGATAAAAGAACTCTATCAGCCAGACCACGGCACAGAGCGCCACGTCCGGTTTTTCCCTAAACACCTCCAGGGACGGTGACTCCACCACCATCCTGTGCAGCCCATTCCAATGTTTGATCACCCTTCCCGTGAAAAACTTCTTCCTGCTGCTTGTCAGCGCTTGTGCAGGTGCCCTCTCCTTGGCTGCGAGGGCCTGCTCTCAGGCGAGGGCTGCCGATGGAGGCCGAAGTACGCCCGCGTCTGTACGGGACGAAGCTCGCACCAGAGGCAAACACGGCAGAGCTCCCCATTCCCTCCCGAGGCGGCTCTGGGCTGCCACCTCTGACCGCGGCGCGGGATCACTGCTCCCACACAAGCCGGTTTGGAGGGAGCCCAAACCCCACCAGCCCTTCCTCCCCCGTGCCGGCCGCCGCTAAACCGGCAGCACCGCGCAGTGCCGGGCCGCGAGGAGCCGCCGAGGCGCCAGCAGAGACGGCAGGGGCGGCTGAGGCCGCGCCGAGCCCCCCGATCCCCGCGGGTCTCACCCGGTCGGTCCCAGCCCAGCGCGGGTCCCGCGGCGGCGCAGAGCAGGAGGAGCAGGCACGGAGCGAGCCCCGCCATGGCGGCACCGGCCGCTGTCACCGTCAGCCCCGGGGGCGGCGCCCGCAACGGAACGCGCGGGGCTCGGGGAGAAGCCCCGCCCCCACCAGGCCGTGGGGCCAATGGGCGGCGAGGGTGTGGCGCTCCGTGAGGGGGCGGGGCCGCCGCCACGGGGCCTGCGCGCGCGCCACGTAGGAGCGTCACGGGGCCGTGCCCGCCCCTTGCCCCTACGGCTTCCGCTTCCGCGCGGCGTTTCCGGTTCCCGGCGCGCGCCTCTCCGGTGCCGCGCGGCTGGCGGGACGGGCGGCGCCATGGCGGGAATCAAAGGTGCGCGCGGGGCGGGGCGGGGCCGGGAACGGCGGGAGCGCGCGGCCCGCGCGGGGAGGGGCCGGGCCCTCGGGCGGGAGGGGCCGTGAGCCCCCGCGGGACCCCCAGTGCCCCCGGGCGGCCGGGGCTGCGCTGAGCCGAGCCCCGCGTTGGTTTGCGGGCGGCGGTGGGTGCTGTGCGCGGTGCGGTGCTCCCTTCACGTTGCCTGGGTTTGTTCTCGTTGTAGCGCTGATCAGCCTGTCCTTTGGGGGAGCGGTCGGACTGATGTTCTTGATGCTCGGATGCGCCCTGCCCCAATACAAGTACCGTGCTCTCTCTTTCTGTTTTTCTGCTTGTGTGGCTGGAACTTCACCGGAGTCCCGCTTCCATAATGGGGGATTGATAAGTTCTCTCTGTGTAGGAGGGGCCTCAGACTTTGGGGGTTTTTTTTTGTTTTGTTTTGTCTTTTGTTTCAAAAGGTTGGGATGGGAACAAAAAGAAAGACCGTCCAGGATTTATTAATCCTAAAAAGGAATGGCAGCAAAAGTTATAGTGCCAGGCCTGGCTGCAGACCATGAAAGGATGCATTGCCCTGACTGTCTGTGGGTGACCCTCAGACAGCAGCATCTCCCGAGGTGGGCAGCAAGTGTGGGTTATCCAGGGAAGGATTGGCATTTTCTGTGGCTGCCTAGGGACAGCTGGGCTGTCACTGACTCTCAGGTGGATCCTTGGCTGTGTCCCACACTTGTCATATAGCGTCTGGAGTAATTGCAGCTGCTGTCTGTACTTTCCCGACATCGATTCCTATCTCTTGGTTTTCAGGAGATACAAAATAGCAGACCAAGTGCTCAGATAAGAAGGCCTATGGCTTTGACTCTTTGCAAGTGAATGCTGACTTTACAGAAAAGATTTTAAATTTACTTATTCACTGTTGAATAAATACTAAATATTTTGTTGATTGACCTGTTATGGGTTGTGAATTGCAGTTTCTACATATATGACTAGAATTCCTAGGCCAGCCAGTGCTAGTAACACAAACCCTTGGGAAGGAGAGCCTTATACAGTTGCCCTTCAAACAATGCAGTAAAGTTTTATTGAAACCATGTGCACCTGCCTGAGAAGGTGTGCCTGAGAAGTCTAGTCTGGGGGCTGCAAGGGTATCCCCTGAGTACAACTGACAGGATAAACTTGGAGTTAAGCTCACCTTGTAAGGTGGCATTAGATTTAGGCTTGCTTAGTGCAGTCCTGCTTTGTGAATATCCTGTTAGTGAGCTCTGCTGCCATTGAGGTCAGCCGAAGCCACTCAGGCACATGGTCTGTAGGATTAATGACAAAGGATTTGCCTTCTCTGGGCTTGTCTGTCTGTCCTAAATGGGGATGCTGGCTGGGAAAAATGCCTTGCATGGATTTTAGGAGGAGCAGGAAGTAAATCCAGTTAAGTAAAACTTTTTTTCTCCTTTCTTTTTCAGCCAGTACTGGCCACTGTTTGTTCTGTTTTTTTACATCCTTTCTCCTATCCCGTACTGCATAGCAAGAAGATTGGTAGATGACACAGATGCTACAAGTAATGCCTGCAAGGAGCTGGCCATATTCCTTACAACAGGCATTGTGGTCTCAGCATTTGGGCTGCCCATAGTGTTTGCAAGAGCAGAACTGGTTAGTAGTATTTCAACCTGTGATTGCCTTTTTTTTTCTGTTTCTAGCTTTGTGTTGTTTATTGAAGGTAAAGCTTTCATGCACTAAATAACTCTTACAATTATGTACTTTTGGAACCAGAATAAGATTTTTTTTTGGCAAAAAAAATCAATACTGAAATGGGAGTATGGCAGAACGTTTGTGATTCCCATTTGCTTCACGTGGTCATGGAATAAAGCCTAACAATGCAATGCAGAGAAAATGAGACAGAAAGTACTGTGAAAACTTAACAGGGAAGTAACCAAATATAGAAGTGTAAAGAATACTTTGAAGACAATTTGTGGAATAGTTGAGCTAAAGCAGCATGAATAAACAAAAAAAAAGTATTTTTATACTCACTGTAAATTATATTGTAAGCGATATTGGTATAATTTCCTTAAACTTCCAAGTTCTCATTACATATTTCCCAGTATACAGCTTTTCACTAAAATACTTTACAAGTTCACTTTGTTTGTGTGAATGGCAGAAAGCACTACCAAGTCAAAGAACATGGAGTGCACTTGCATAAATGTCTTCAGACAAGAACAGCTCAGATGGACAGTTGGAATGCCTCACATCCTTTGAGTAATCCCCTTACTCTCCTCCTTTTTTGTTACTGGGATATCTGCTGGTGTTTTGAAGACCTTAAATACCTGTTTCAAAGAGTCTTACAGCATAGCAGGGCTGCAGATGTGTTTGATGCTGTTGTCTAGCCTTACTTTGCATAGCAAACCAGTTGTGCTTGTAGCTAGCCAATGCCTTGAGTACAGCTAGAAGAAACTTGCAGTGCTGCTTGGCTGGCTGTGAATTTCTCAAGTAACTTTGGGTAAACCTACTTGGTGTAACCACAAATAATGAGGTGTTGTGTCTTGCATCATGGATGTGTTGCTGAACTTTGTTGAATGGGATAGTAAGATGTTGCCTTTTGTCTTGTTAGTGTTCAGTTCCAGACGTGTCTAACTGAATTCCCCTGTTCACAGATTTACTGGGGCGCGTGTGCCCTCGTTCTCACGGGGAATACAGTCATCTTTGCCACCATCCTAGGATTCTTCTTGGTCTTTGGCAGCAATGACGACTTCAGCTGGCAGCAGTGGTGAAAGGAAGACCAGAGAACTATCCACAGGCATCTTGTCATGCAGTGGCCATCCATACAAATGAGAGAATGGGCAATAAAGAGAAGTAGCATAGCAAGCCTCTTGAGTATTCTAGATGCTCCTTTTGACGTTGTTCGTTCTGAGTGTACTACTGTTGCTGACAGGGTTTCTACGTTTTTATGAAGTGGAGAGATGATTGATTTCATTTTTACCTATGGTATGTTTTTAGGTGCTCTCTTGGTTTAAAATTGTCATCCTTCTGTCCAATGTTTTATGTGAAGCTTTAAACCAGGAACAACATTTAAACATAGTTTAGGAGATTTAAAGTTGGGGGGTTTTTGTGGGGTTTTTCTTTGTTGGTGGGTTTTTGTTTTTTTTTTTTTTTGTTTTTTTAAGTTATGAATTAATACTGTGTTTCATTTCTTTTTTAAATGCCAGGATTAAATTATATACAAGCTGAATGGAAGTAAGAGATTGTCCACCACCATTGCCAATTACCAGATCAATAGATTGTTGCTATATTTTAGCAGAGGCAAGGTGGGTTGGAGAGTACCGGTTGCAGATTTTCTTCTGCCCATACCTCAGACTGGGTGATGAATGTTGATAGCCTTCATTTCAGGAGAAGGCTGAGGAGCAGGTAGAGTTATTTGGGAGAGAAGTCCTAAATTTTAACACCACTAGCTCTTTTACCTGCTTTGTTATCAGTTCTGTGGATGTGACATTCAAATACTCTGTAAATGTACTGATGCTGACGTACAAAACTGAAGTGTATTGTAGGGGAAGAGAAAATTATGTTTAAATTCCATTTTTTTAAAAAAAAGTATCTTTTGAACTCTTTCTATTTATAAGCATTGTATGGATTTGAACTTTTATGTCAACTTTTTACCACAAAAATGGTAAAATGTTCATTTATGGAACTACTGGTCTGTGTTAATTTGAAGCATATACAAAGCTATTTGCTCCTCTCCCTTTTTAATTTATTTTATACATAGCATATATATATATATAAATATATAATAAACCAGCTTTTAAAATGTAGATTAAAACTGTGTTAAACTTGCCTGAGTTTTCCTCCCCTCCTCCCTTTTTTTTTCTTTCTTTTTCCCCCCTCAATGCAGCTGAGGCACGTCTTTTTTGGAAGTCACTGGCTGAACTGATTTCACTGACTGTTTTTAAGTTCTTATGCACTGTTGGTTAATAAGATTTACTGTTATGTCTGTAACTGTAGCTTGTGTTCTGTAAGATTGCACATGTAGCTTCAAGTATTTAAGACAAGTTTTCTGCATACCTCTCAATTGTCCAGATGTTTCGTTTGAGGAAACCTGCCATTGCACATTCCATCACAGCACAGTTGATGAGCACCACTTAACCAGGTTTGCCTGTACATGTGCAGTGATGACCTTGACCAAACTTATTTCTAAACTGTATTTTTCAATTCTTTAAAAATAAGTCTATGAAACTTAACTATGTGTAATTAAAAGCTTAGGTTTTGCTCAGCAGTATGAAAAGGCAGAGAACTGCAGGTCTTGGCTGTAGTGTTTGTGCACAGATGCAAACCAAGTAGGAAGTTTGCATACATATATATATATATGTGTTCATAAATATATATGAGTCTGATAGTCATGGGGTGTGCTCCAGGAGCTGATACTGGCAGGTGGGGGCAGCTGGGCTGTAGCTCCCTCCACACTCTGCTTTGTTCATGTCCTGTGTGTGGAGCAGAGGAACAAGCAGGTGCCAAGGCTCCAGAGCAGACGTATTTCAAGTGTAACCAAGTGCTTTGTCAGGCTGCCTGATGGTGGCATTTGGACCTGCACAAGGGCTGTAGGATCACGTGTTTCTTTCCCTTTTTCAGCAAGATTTCTGCACCCACACCCCAAGTACAATGGATGCTTCAAAAAAATCTTCCAAACCAGCAGCTAAAATTGCAGTTCCCTGCAGTCCTTATGGAGGAGGAGTGCCTAGGACTTGTACACATATGATCTGTCACTCATTCCTTTTTCATGGTCAGGAACTGTGTTCTCCTTCATTCCTGAAGCCACATGATTCTACTCTCTGGATCACTGGTCATGGAGCTGACTCTGTATTGGTGGTGCATTTTTTGTCTGTTAATTGCATTACAGCACTCCCTCCTTGCACACCAAGTACATGCAGTATTGCTCTGATTCATGAGCAGGACACTTGAGAGGTATGATCCTTCCATATAATATGCACTGAGATTGTGTTACCATCCTTTAGAGGGAAAAACTTTGAGCGATACAAATTTTAAATAGCAGTCTTGAGTTCTGTATGTTTAATCAAAAATACTCTAATAAAAAGAGTATTTTATTTAAAGTATTAATTGTTCTTTTTCCTTTATTTAATGTGGTTGTTACTCCTGTGGAAGAGATGACACCAGACTGCTCACTAGTCCTTCAGAGCGAGTATTTGTGGTTTTTACCTGGGACTGATTTATAAAGAGAGGCTTCAGTGTCCAAGTTGCACTGAGTTGACTTTGTTGTGTCACACTGCAGTGTTTCCTTCAGTTTCTGTTTGAAAGCCAAATCCTGAAATGTGGGTGGTGTTATACAAAGTGATGGCCATCTTAACCCTCTGATGTATTTATAACTCTGCAATTTTTCTTTTAAAAACTACACATTTGTGATCATGACATTTCTGAAATTTGAAAGCTGATGACTGATGCCAGTCGTCTAGCAGAAGAAAATAAGGGAATTTGGTGGAAAATCCTTTTAGGATGATCAGTCACCCTTTCTCTCTCCACACACACACTCGCTTTGGTCAAAACATGGAAAGGGGAGTGGAGTTATTTGGCAATAACTAAGGTGCTACATCTACAGAGCTTTTTCATGAAAGCAAATTAAATCAGTAGAATCGCTGAAAGTGCTGGGCTGGAAGAGACCCGTCAGGATGACTGAGTCCAGCTCCAGTCCCTGTGCAGGACAATTCCCAAAGTCACACCCTGTGCCTGAGTGCATTGTCCAAAGGCTTCTTGAGCTCTGTCAGGCTTGGTGCTGTGACTCCTTCTCTGGGGACCTGTTCTAGTGCCTGACCACCATCTGGATGAAGAACCTGTTCCTGAAATTTAGCCTGGACCTTCCCTGGCTGCACTCCATTCCGTTTCCTTGAGTCCTGTCACTTGTCACCAGAGTGAAGAGGCAGGTACTTGCCCCTCCTCTTCCTCTCTCGAGGATGCTCAAGACCACAGTGAGGTCTCCCTCTCTCCTCCAGGCTGAACAAACCAAGTGGCCTTCATCGCTCTTCATACGGCTTCCTCTCAGGGCCCGTCGCTGTTCTCTGGACACTCTCCAACAGCTCAGGGTCTGTCTGATGTTGTGGCACCCAGAGCTGCCCCAGCTCAGAGCAGAGCAGGACAATCCCCTCCCTTGCCTGGCTGTGCCTGCTGCCCCCCAGGACAGGGCTGGCCCTCCTGGCTGCCAGGGCTCAGCGCCCCACATTCAATGCCCTGGACCAGCACCCCCAGCTCCCTTCCTGCAGCGCTGCTCCAGCCTCTCGTTCCAGTCTGTGCACACCGCCAGGGCTGCCCAGGTGCGGAGCCCGGCTGGCCCCGTTACCCCCCTGCCGTCAGCAGCGGGAATCTGCGGGCCCTGAGGCGCTCACAGCGCACCGCCCCAGCGCCGGTACCGGGCAGGGCGGCCCCTGAGGGGCTCACAGCGCACCGCCCCAGCGCCGGTACCGGGCAGGGCGGGGCCGCCGGAAGGGCAGGAGCGCCCGCTGGGGGCGGGGCCCCGTTCGGCCCTTCCGCTTCCGGCGCGGCTCCGCCCCCGCGACGTGTGTCTGCTCCCGGTGCCAAGATGGCGGCGGCCGCGGGGGCGGCGGCGGCGGCGGGGCTGTGGAGCGAGGTGAATCGCTGCGGCCAGAACGGCGACTTCGCCCGCGCACTCAAGTCCGTCAATAAGAGTGAGTGCGGCGGCAGTGCCGGGCCCCGCGCCGCGGGTCTGGGGTCTCTGCCCGGGCGCGCTGGCCTTGCGGAGGGTCGGTGCGGTGCGGCGGGGAGCGGTGGTGTCCGTCCGTAGGGTTCGTGCCGGGAGCGGGACCGCGGGCAAAGCCTGCGAGGATCTTACTGTGTTGGGCTAGGGGGAAGAGGGGCGGCCGGGGCCCAGGCTCCGCTGCTGTGCCGTGACCGTCGGGTCCTTGTGTTGCAGCATGCATCCCTTGCTGTGGGTTAAGCCCTCGGAGTTACTCGTGGGTTTTCCTTCCGTTTTGGTCATTGGAGGAAGGAGGGCTTTTCCCCCGGGAACTGGAGGAGGGGTGGTGTGCATATGGACTAGCTACAAGTTGTTCGAAACGGAGGGTTCGCGTTGAGATGTGTTGTTTTGGTGGCTAGGCATCCAAAACGGGATTGCAGTATCAGGCACGTTGTTGTTGTAAGTTCTGTCTTTGCTGCTGGTCGGCAGTAGGAATTCATCTCCTGTCCTGGAAAAGCTGGCATCCCTGAAAAAAATCAAATAGGAAAATTCATGCCTCTCTTCTAGTTCTCATTCACTGTCATCCACTGGCAGAAAATTTTAGCATGTAAAGTGACTCCCTGTCAAGGGCCACACCGTTCTTCTGTACCAGCTGTTTTCCTTCCTGAGTGTGCTTTACGTGGCACTGGGCCCTTGGCACTGTGGTCTTTGCCTGAAGTGAAATGCCAAGGAAAGGTCTGCCCAGGCCTGTGTAGCCTCTTTGGTGCAGCTCTCTTCCAGACATGTTAGCGCAGTGCATGCTTCTGGTAAGTTCAGGGTCTGTATTGGATATTTTATCCTGCTGGGGTTTGTTTCATGATCCCAGCCAAAGCAGGCCATGCCAGGCTGCTTTAAGTTGATGTGGCCACTCTCTAGGATGGGTTTTTGCAGCTCTAATAATGTGAGTCTCTTGCAAAGCCTGGCTGTGTTTGAGTTGGATCACTGTGTTGAAACTGGTTTCTCCTCCAGTACTGCAGATCAACAAAGACGACGTGACAGCACTTCAGTGTAAAGTAGTGTGTCTTATCCAGAATGGGAGCTTCAAGGAAGCCCTTGGTGTAATCAATACCCACACTAAAGTGTTAACCAGGTGAGTTGTGTCATGCTGTGCTTTACAAAACTCCTGAGTCCTTGAGAAGCTGCTGCAGCTTCAGTGGAGAAAACTAATAAGGCAGGATAAAGAAAAATAAAGAGCAGGATATGCTCAGAGACATTGGGGTTGGTGACACACTTATTTATGGGAGGAGGTGAGACAGGATCTGGTCGAGTTTGAGGCAGTCTAACACCTTGCTGTTTCTGTTGAAGGGATTTGTCCCTGAGTTTTCAGCCACCTTCACATGCTGATTCTGCTTGTAGATGTGGCTGGGTAGCGTGGCTGGTACAAGGGAAGGGGACAGATCTCTCTGGGAGGGAAGTGAGAAGGGAGAAGCCTTTGTTGGTGGCAGCAAGCTGTTGGCTTTGCTTGGCTGTCTCATCATACAGCTCCTTGGGGTCCTTTGCTTTGCCGGCCTGAAGGAGCTGCCTCAGCTTTTGGGGTGGTGCAAGCCCTTTGTGGATCCTCTCAAAACCAGGACCCTGGAGACAAATTGTGTTTGAGAACAAGTCAAGCTTCTCATTTGTGTCCTTAAGATTCTAATTTTGTTCCTCATAAGGATGCTCTTTGTGCAATGACAAGGATGAAAAGTGCTACCCAAGAAGTGGCTGGCAGCAAAACTTTTGTATTTCAGATGCTGTTCTTATTAATGAAGTTCCCAGAAAGGTGTGTTGAAGTTATCAGTGTGATGAAACATACCTTTGTTTTTTGTTTGCATCTGAATAACATGTAATTACCCTGTTCACCAGTTCCTTCTTTCCTGGGACAAAAGGGGCTTAATTCAAATTTTTTAGCTTATTATTTTATTATATGGTAGGGAGAAGCATTTTTTTTTTATATTCAACTGGGTTCAGAGTTCTTCCTATAACTTCTTTCAGCTCATTCTACTGTGTGTCTGTGTCCTGCAGAGCAAGGAGAATGGTGGTTCTTGGTCTGTCTTGAAGTTTTCCTATCCTGCACTGAGGCTGCTTTGATTTAATTCTAAATGCCATTAATTTTCAAACTCCCTTAATACTCAGTTGAATAGAGATCATTTTAAATAGGCAAAGTAAAGCTAATAATAAGTGGCCCCATGCATGAACTAAAGGACTTGCGGATTATTTTCCTTTGGCATAAATGGTAACTCGGGTTAGGTGGAACATAGCTTTCAAGGCTCAGATTCTTTGAGAGTGCTTCCCTCCTGGTGTGAGCTTGCTTTGAAGCCAATTTATGTTTGCAAAAGCAAACCCTTTTGCTGCAGTTCTGCTGCAATCATATTTCAAAATATGTTAATGTTACCTTTGTCTTGGCATCAGCCTGTAAGTGGACTGTGTTTTATATTTTTCCTTTCTCTTTGTGAGTCAATTGTCTTTAGAAGTTTGCAGTAACAATGTTTCATTGCAATGTAATGCCTTCCCCTGAAGAAAATGTCAGGGAATGAAGTTTGCTATTGTTTTACCTTTTAGCATTTGATTAGCATAATTAGTAGGGGCCTGGAGCAGAGAGGATTTGGAATACCATGTGTGTGGAAATGCCATTAAAAAGGAACCTTTTGTTTTTGGATGAAGTTTTG